AAGAAGAAGAAGAAGAAGAAGAAGAAGAAGAAGAAGAAGAAACAAGAAAGTAAGAAGAAACAAGAAAAGAAGAAAGTAAGAAGAAAGAAGAAGGTAAAGGAAGAAGAAGAAGAAGAAGAAGAAGAAGAATAAGAAGAAGAAGAAGAGCTGGAACCAATGTCATCTCTCTTCACCTCCATCCTCTTATTGATAGTAATAAACCACAGCAATGAATGAAAGAGCCAGAATCACTGTCTGATCACTCCCCTTTACTGCCAGGCTTGTAAAGAGCCCTCCTCGGACCTCCTACACCTCCTCACCACGCCGGGATGGCATCTGGCTATGGGGGAACATCCGAGCCCAGCTCGGATATTCAAAGGACAATGCAAATGCCATGTCCCCTCCAATGATAGCTGCCAAGCCTACGCTACCGGATGAAGTCCATAACCCACCGCTACCCCTTCACGGGCCTTCCTGACGCAGCACCAATCTAGAAAATGAAGATGCATGTCCACAGTAGCCAAAGGGGAGTCTCCTTCCCTGTTCCCACCTCTGTCCTCTTCCTCCTACGCCTACTACAACTCCACAGCCTAGCTAGAAGTCCTTCTCCCTCACCTTCATAGTCTCGGACTACTACCTCCTCCCTGCTACACCTCCATAGCCATGGAGGTGTTCTTCGTCGCCCTCCAGCTTCACCTTCTTCGTCCAGGAGCTCCGCCACTTCTCCCTCTTGGCGGAGCCGCAGAGCTGCAGCATGACTGCTGGGTGAACGAGCGGACTGCTCATTGCACTGCATAATACAGACTCTACTGCCCAGCCTCCAGTACCTCTTGGCTGGGTACCGCCCCTCACTTGGTTGCACTAGGTGTACCCAGTGTTCCCTTCTTTTGGCGGGAACATCATTGCAGTTTGAAATCTATCTACAGGCCCCGAACCAAGACTACTTACCAGCCTACATTCAGGCCCTGGACCACCATTACCTACAGCTAGGCGACTGGACCCTTCCAGGTCAAATTACCAAATTGCTGGAAAGTCCTTACCGGCCCTGTCAAATTCTATTTATGTCCCTGGGCGCAACACTACCTACCACTAGTCCTCCTGCCCCTGGCCATGTCCCTATTTCTACCTTGTCCCTGTCCAAGGCACAGCCACATAACACGGTGAACGGAGTTAGCAAACGGACCTAGACTTTAACCTGGCCAGGCACACAGCTCGTGCACGTACGGGGTAGATCGTGCGGACAGTTGGAAAACACTGCAAATCACAGTGGAACAGACTCAGCCTCGGATTGCTCAGAAAACAGATCAGAAGGACAGCATTTCCTCAGAAATCGCAGGAATCTCAGACAGCGATTTGTGCGGGTCATTGCACATAGCCGACTCCAGCCACAGTCATTCTCCAACGGCTACAAGATTTCCCAAGACAGCGTCTGCACAGCCATACTAGAATCCAGCCACACTCATTTTCCAGCAGTGACAACAGGTCAACTTCTGCACAGCCACACTAGAATCTAGCCACAGTCAGGTCAAATTCTGCACAGCCATACTAGAATCCAGCCACAGTCATTCTCCAGTAGAGAGTTTCTGCACATCCATACTTGGGGCTACTTGGGGCTCGCCATACCGCTGTCAAAACGATAAAAATATATGAGTGCATGTTCCCGCAGAGAGTGGCAAGATGCATAGGTTACTATGAATAGTAATGGATGCATCTTGACGCTTTCTGCAGAAGATGCACTCGTACTTTTTTTTGACAGCGGTGTGGCGAGATGCCCTTGAACCCACTCATTCTCGTACGGTAAGGCACTGCTATCCCACCCAACACACTGGTCCAGAATCCAGAGTCAAGCCTGACAATGGCGCGCTTAATTCTCAGGCACGTCGAAGTAACCTCCTCATGATTTCAGTGCACTGAAACTGGCTTCGACAGCCCTTAAACTGCTTAATTCTTGGTGCAAAGACAGCCACAGCTAACAACAAAAAAAAAAAAAGAGAGCCACAGCTATTCTCCAGGAGTGACAGCTTCTGCACACATCCCTACTTGAATCCACCGATTCTCCGATCCATCAGTGCGGCACTGCTATCCGACCCAAAAAGGGTCCAGAAAGAGGCCTGATAACGGGTGCGTACTTCTGAGTAACTTCAAAGTAACCTCATCATGATTTCCGCGCTTGACACTGGCTTTGACAGCCCTCACCACACAACTCCCGAAACAAAAACGCTTGCGACTGCACCTTCCCACAGGAGGTGGCTAGAAACATCTGATACTCTCAATATCATCTGATGTATCTTGCCACCCTCTGTGTGAAGATGCAGTCACATTTTTCCCGTTTCGTGAGCCGCGTGCTGAGGCCGAAAGACACATTCACCTCCTGTATATATCATTATATATTTCTGACTTGCTGGTGGAAAAGAAACCAGACTGTCGCTCCCTCTGACACACCTGAAGCGCGCTGCAGACTCAATCTTAAACAGAGAGTACACAGCCCCAGCCTTGCAGATTTTTCATTTTTATTTTTTTTGCAGATTTTCTTTTTGTCGCATACTCCAAAAATTTCGCACCTCAGGCCAACCGGACCACAATGGCTGGCAAGAAAAGAAGTGCACGGCTGACAGTTCGGCAAAGCTTGACGTGCAGTGGAGCGCGCCTCAAGGCCTGGGTGTACTGGTTGTTTAAGTGAAAATGAAAAAAAATGAGAGCATAGAGTGGAACTGACAACCATTCTAATCTCTGGGCCCAAAATAGAACAGAGTCTGAGCCGTAACGTGCTATGGAACCGACAACCATTCTCATCTATCCGCAATGGTGCTAACGTGCTATGGAGAGGCCATAAACGCCTTCAGGGATCAATGGAAGAAGATAGCTACTGTGATCGCATGTCCAACCACAGCTTAGGACAACCTGCAGCTTAGGAGAACCTGCCGAAGCAAGCGACTTGCACTCAAAACAGGCATAACCGCGGGGTATGTTAGACCGCAAGTACATGGACCCAGCCATGCAGAAGGTTTTTGTCGCCACAAGCAAAACACGGAGGGCCGCACGGCGTGGGGCACCGTTGAAAAAAAAATTGGCGGCTGGTGCGGGTTTTGTGCTGACACCCATGGGCCGATGTGTGGTGTACTACCGTCTTCCCCCGAACGTAATGCACCCTGATAATGAATGTATGGAAGCAATCTTTCCGGTCCGGTACAGCCCCATAATGAGGGTGCGTTGTGTTCGGGGGAAGACGGTGGTGCTTTAAATCACCCAAAACTAACACCTGGCGAACTGCAACTCATCCTCCAGCTGAAGGCATGTCAGCCCGCGTACTCACAGTCACACTATCTTCAATGCATCTGACCTCATTCTAGGCCAGACCAGCATGTATCTGATCGCAATTACCTCCTCAAAAGAGTAAAAAAGTCCTACTGTGAGTATCTGTAAACTGCAGTCCATCTTCCAGTAGCGGTAGCAATTTTCACCTGACTTAAGGCTGCTTCGTCACTATAGGGCTGGTAGAGACCCTTTGGCTGTGTGTGTTATGCAGGAGGACTCCATATAACGCACCATAGAACAAGAGGAAGACACCACCAACACTGGCCCTTCGTCAAATTCAGGGCTCCCTACACACCTGTCCGTGGGACGTGCACCTGCACGAGCCTCTTGCTGAGACAAAACTTCAGCAGCATTATCAGTGTGGACTTCCCCAGAAAACATCGGTAAATAGGATAAGATTGGAACCGTTAGCCTGTGCAATCAGGAGTCCTACTGGTGTTCCCTCCAGCCACCACCCAGGTACACCAATCTAGACTACCGGTAGAGCTAATAATAGAACCAAAACATGGCCCGTTGGAGGACAAAACCCTCTCACAAGGAAAACATTCATGGCAGAGGAACTCCACTGTCCTCGAGTCCCCTCTGTATGTGAGTGTGTGTGTTGTGTGTGTGTGTGTGTGTGTATGTGTGACACTGTGTGTGTTGATGTGTGTGTGTTGTGTGTGTCTGTGTGTGTTGTGTGTGTGTATGTGTGACACTGTGTGTGTGTCTGTGTGTTATGGAATTTCAGCACAACACCCCCTGTTCCAGCGTGTGTGTGTGTTGTCGTGTTCGCTATACAAAACTCCGCAAAAAAAGCATGCATGTGCCAGACTGTTTCGTCGGACTTTCACCGACTCATCTGTGTCTAGAATGTGAGTCTGTAGCGTGTGTGTGTGTGTATGTCGGTGAGAGAGAAAAGAGAGTATTGACGAGTCGGGGGGGGGGGGGGGGGGGGGGGGGGGGGGGGGGGGGGGAAGGCAGTGCAGCGGGGTGGAGCCAAGGCTATTGAATGCCCGCCCATCGTGCAAGATCAACAAACTGCATGCCCCCATAAATGTTGTTTGCAAAACGAATACCCACAGTGAAAGCCATTGCCACCAGTGGCACGTTCTTAGCCATCACTGAACTCTCCACGACCCGTTCCATGCCATTGATCATTTGATAACGCAAATTGGAGGACACTCCCATGAAAAGTGCCCAGCAGGCTGCACTCTTCAGCAGAGGGGGAATGGGGACATCGGAGCCGTCCTTGCCCTTGTTCAAGCTCCTCTTGAATGTCATTAAGGTGTTTGCTATACCCTGACCCACTACTCCGCACAAGAACCCTGCTACTCCGTATTGTGCACCCTTGACAAAGAGGGTTGCCACCCTCTGATTGACTGTAAACGAGCGGCCAGGACTTGCAGCTTCAAAAACACTGTTGGGAAGTTGGCTCAAGATCCGAGAGAGGCTCCCCTGCAATCCCTTACTACTGTGATTGACCGTCCCAAAGGTGACAATGGGGGCAAGCATGCCCACAAGAGCCACATCTAGAACGATACCCACCAATAGGTCCGATAAATAAAACTCAAACTCATCCCAGAACTCTGCGCCACGCTTCTTCACTTCTGCAAACGTGGCACAGCCAGAATCAATAGTAATCTCCGTGAGTACTTTAAAAAGGAACTTAGGGTCGGCGAGCATACGCTCCCTAAGCAGGCCACTGGATTGAATAGCAGGGCCCAGAGGCCAAGGCAGGCCCTGGAGTTCGATATAGCGAGAGAGGAGGAGGGCAGGGATACCCGTCAGGACGGCAGCTGTAGCCATGTCATCAGGGAGATCAACTCCTTGGACTGCGACAATGCTCTGAACTTCTTTGGCAGTGAGAACGGGGCCAAAGAAATCTCCCCCGCCGTCGCCGCTTTCCCGATCAGGCAAGTCATCGCCACCACCGCCGCCATGGCCTCCTCCTCCTCCTCCTCCTGTCGCCCCCCCATCTCCACCACCCGTGCTCGCCTCACGACTGCTTCTATCATCATCATCGCCTGCACCCTTCTTCCCATCACCGACGCCGCCCTCCTCTCGATCAATTGGACTGCGCTCCGTCGTTTGCAACGTGGCAAAAGTGCCCATATCGGCATCACCCAGGGGGGCAGTATTGTCGCACATGCAAATGACAGCTCCCCGGCGAGCGTGACGCGTGGCGCACTGTACGACCAGATCAAGCGCGCCAGTCTTCCCCACCGGGTTTTCAACAAACGAGATGTCCAGAAGGGGGGTTATACTTCCCGACGTTTTGGCAGACCGATAATGTGTCATTCCCGCCTCTCGCCGCCAGTTTGCCCCCCCTGGCTGGCGACAACAGGATCCCTGCGCTGACATCGCAGACACCCCTTCGTCAATTGAGACTCCTTGGCGGGAGATGCCGCCTGTGCGCAGGGGGTCCGACAACCGCACCCTTCCGCAAACACCGTCGGACCGGTCGCTCTTGACGCTGACACTGTACGCGGATCCCGCTTCCCTCGACCCATCTGCCAAAATGGCATGGCTCCTCAACACACCCCTCATTGTCCCTGCATCTAACGCAGCCCTCACCCACGTGCTTACCGACGCCATCGCCGTCCGTCTGAGTCGGCGCAGGCAAACTACTTACGCTCACTCACTGCTTATAAACCTCGCGATGCCTCCCGCGACAGCACAGCAAAGCAGCGGGACACGGGGCCCTGCCGCGAGACAATCTACTACACACAGAGGGCCCTGCCGCGAGACAATCTACTACAACACAGAGGGCCCTGCCGCGAGACAATCTACTACAACACACAGAGGGCCACACGAAAACCCGCGCAGTGACTGCAGTAAGCGCCGCCGCTTGGAGGCGCGCCACGTGGCGGCGCGGCCAAAACTCAGAGAATTACGCGATGCCACTGCGGAAATCAATGCCACGTGGCAACGGTTGAACCCTCTGGTCGCCGGACAAAGTCTCCAGGTACATTACCCTGCCCGCTGAAATTATGTACCTGGGTAGGCTTTTTTTATGAAACCGTTCTCCCGACCTACCATAAGCAACGGCTAATCAACTACTACTACTAGCAGGCCTACCCGAGAGTACTGCCCCTAGTGCAGCTGTTCTAGTGATTTCATGATAGCTGTGGTATCAAGTAAGTATCGACTAGATAGCTAGATTAACTGTTGAGTGCTCCGCCCGCAAAAAGAACATTTCTTTTTTTTGCAAATCAAAGAAGCGAGCTCATCAGGAGGTTGAACCACGACAGTCTGTCAAGGATACATTTGACTGATGGATAAGCAGTCACCACTTCACCCGGAGTTAGCGATACCCTAGAGAGAGAGCAATGTGGTCGACTTGACTCGCACCAACCCTTTGTGTGTGTGTGTGTGAAAGTCTCGGTTAAGTGGGCCGACACGGTGTGCCTGAAAGTCGCTCGGGGGTAGTCGCAGAAAGTTGACTTCGATTATAAGAGTGCCCTTGTGGTTAAGCAGGTCCTGTCCTGTCACGTATGAACGGAGTATTCAACATCCAATCGGCTTGGCATTTGCTGTTCGCTACGACACAGTCGAGCAGCCGTATTGCTGGGCGTGCATCTTGAAGCATTTCCTAGAAAATATAAGGCAAAGACGAAACACACGGCACGTGTCAGAATCAGCTCGCGACAGCATGGCAACCTCTCTCTCTCTCTCTCTCTCTCTCTCTCTCTCTCTCTCTCTCTCTCTCTCTCTCTCTCTCTCTCTCTGTGTCTGT